GAGACAACATCTTGCCCTGTCTCCAGGCTGGCCTAATCTGGCCTCCAGCAATTCTTTCCCTGCGGCTCCTGCACTAGCTGGGAACTCACGAGGCCACACCACTGCACTCACCTACTTTCTATATTTGAATCTATTTCCTGTACTTTCTACTCCCTTTCACTAATCTTTTCCTATCCTATGGCAACGCAACCACGACTCTAGTTATTATGGCTCGAATAAGATCATTTAATCTCTGATAATCTTGTCCGCCTCATCTTCTGGATCTCTTCATTTGTTCCAAATAATTCCTTTTTTCACGGACTTCCATGTTACACACTCCAACTTTACAGGGTAACATGGAGCTTTCTAAAATGTGAATATGGCCGGAGCGCGGTGGCTTCAGCTGTAAAATACCTATACGCACTCTGGCAGGCTGAGGCTGGGCGATGCTCGCCGGTCGGGATTGAAACCAGCCTGAGCAAGAGTGAGACCCGTCTCTACTAAAAATAGAAACGAAATTAATTGACCAAAAGATATATCACAAAAATTAGCCAGGCACTGGTGGTGCATGCCTGTAGCTCCAGCTATCGGGAGGCTGAGACACGGAGGATCACTTGACAGGAGATTCGAGGTTGCTGTGAGCCTAGGCTGGACGCCTACGAGCACTCCACTCTACGCCTGGCAACCAAAAGTGAGACTCCTGTCTCCAAAAAAAAAAAAATGCTGTATTGTTCATACTTTCAGATTTTTTGATCCTTAGTCAGTAATCTTTAAGAGTTAAATGTCATAAATAGGAACGTCGCATGTATCCTCATTAGTATCCCAGCCTAATTGTTCTCATTTCTGCTTGTTATTCTTTAGTCTGTTTGTTGTATGTAGTAGACCGCATAACCAGTTGTTTAAATAAATTAATCTATACAATTCTGAATATTATTTCAAAACAGGACATCTTTTACTAATTTTGCTGTTTTGTTCAACACTTTAAAATCTAATAGATTTTAAAGAGCTAGATCTCTAGGTTCACAGCAAGCAATGAGTGGAAGTCAGAGACTTCCCGCACACCTCAGATTCTCCCACACCGTACACACGGACCCCCCTGCCCACCCATGCCTACCAGAGTGTACTTTCTGTTACACGCACCGTCCCTACAGTTGACGACATCACTATAAATCCAAGCCCTATATTTCACATAATATTTGCTTCTCCGGTTGTCATATTAGTACGGGTTTACATGCAACGTCATACACGTATACCCGCCATTGTAGGGATCATGCGGGAAAGTTTCCACTGCACAAATATCCGTGCCCTCACCCATTCATCTCCTTCCCCATACCCTGAGTACTTCGTGTAGGATAATGACCCCGTTTGCACCCAAGTTGTGCAAAGACATTCATTCATCATTCTTCCTATGGCTGCGTAATACTATTCATGGGGGTGTGTGTGTGTGTGTGTGGTGTGGTGTAATGTGCTCCTCGTGCACACACATTCTGATGCTGTAGCATGCTTGGGTTTGACAAAGGTATGTTCGGACACATAGTCACATTATATATCACACAGAAGTATTTTTCACTAAACCTAAAAATCCTGACCATATTCACTCCTCCTCCCCATGCGGCAGCAACCCGATTTTAGTTTTGTCCTTTTTCCAGAATGTCATATAGTTCAAATCACTCACAGCTATCCTAGCGTCTTGTTCAGATTAGCTTCTTCACTTAATCCTTAATCAGTATTTAAGATCTCTCATCGTTTTTGTCACTGGCTGTTGCTACTTACTCCTTCTTTAGCACTTGGTGCTGATTCGCATTGTCTGATGTGCCACCGTCTATGCCATTCACCTATTGAACGGGCATCTTGGTTGCTACCCAACGGTGTTGGCCAACTATGGATCAGTTGCGTAAACCATTCGTGCGTGCAGGTTTTTCGTTGCCGACCAACAGTCTTCAGTTCATCTTTGATAATTATTATCACCAAGGCGAAGCTCGGATGCGCCTGGATGGCTGCAGCCCTCAATGAGCATGTTAGTTTCTGTAAGAAACCTGTCCAACTGTCTTCCACAAACCTCGGGCGTACCCACTGGTTGGCTTCCCAACACATGAATGAGAGAGTTGCTGTTTGCTCCTCTCCAATCCTCACCCCCGCATCTGGTGTGCGACACCTGTTTGAGCATCAAATCTTGGATTTTCGCAGTATAAAATCATGCTTCTGGGAAATATGAACTCTTTTCTCCCTTTCCTGATTCCTCTGGTGTTCTTGTCTTCTTGTCAGCCACTACTACTGTGGACTCCATAAATCTCAAAAATGTTAAATAATAGCTGTGAAAACATAAACAAATCTCGGTCTTATTGTCTGCCGTGACTTCAAGTTGGGCGGAAAGCTCTATTGTAGCCCCCTTAAGGCTGGAGTTGCTTTTGACCACTCGAGCATAAAAATATCGTATCATGTTAAGGAAATTACATACCCGCTCTTCGCATTTTTGTTCACAGTATTTGCCAAGGATAAACTGTTGAATTCTTTCAGCTATCTATCGGGACTGGAATCATGTCATTTTTTCTGAACATATTGAACTATGGTCTAAAGTCACATTGATACAGATTCCGTTTCTTTTTTTTCTTAATATTAATCATTCTTCGTATTTTGAAGGCAACGCTTGGTTAAAAAAAACCTCCCTTAAACTCTTAACAACAAGCAACGAATTTCTTACTCTGAGCATTTATCTCTGAACGAGAATGTTAAGAAAACTGCACAAAATATGAACAAGGCTGCCTCCACGCATGCAAGTGCTTCCTGTTTGTTGACACCATCCGAGTTATCCACGCTGTCATGTATGAAAATCCTGGGCCCGCCCTTTGGCTGGAGGGCAAGGCGTGAGCACCGCAAAGGAATACCGCCCAGCGCAAGATAGCGAGACAGGGCTCCTTGGCCTGACGACCTAGGCAGGAGGATCGCTTGAGCCCAGGAGTTTGAGGTTGCCGTGAGCTAGCCTGATGCCACGGCACTCTAGTCCAGGCAACAGAGTGAGAATGAGACTCTGTCTAAAAAAAAAAAAAAAGCATTAACAGTCAAGGAAATAAAACTGGCTGCTGTCACAATTGGAAACCTTGTCTCTTTGGAAGGTACCATTGAGAAAATGGAACTACAAGCCATGAGCACACAGACCCTCGCACATTGCTGGTGGTGATGTGACTGGTACAACCACCTTGAGAAACTATGTGACAGCTGCCTACAAGTCAGTTTTATTCACAATGCCCCCAAGCTGGCAACAACCCACATGTCCTCCTTTGGGGTCCTGGGAGGGTACCTCTTCCAGCCCATCGTGGCCTCCTTCGGTCCATCCATCGACTTCTAAACCGACAACCTGCGGTTATCCATACACAGGAATACTACTCACCAGTGATCAGGAGGGAACTACTGACACACACTCTAGTGAATTCCTGAAATTTTATCTTGTCTCGGCATCCATGTTGAGTGCAGTGTTAACTGTCTGATACTAGAATCGAAGCCAGGCTTAGTCACTTTTGACGGTTTCCAGCTGTCTGCCTCCTCCCAGCTCCTCAATGCATCCCATCCGGATGTCTGGCCCTATATCACCTCCTGGTAACCACTTCCCTATGGGACATATACATACAGCCCACCAGACTCACCCCACTGACCCCCATGGACTGCATAGACATGCCACAGTGACCACTCCTAAGTCACAGCGTGGCCCAATGGGATCCAGACTGCTTGCTCTAAACGAACCAGTTAGAACCCCTCAGGAACACCGCTGGAGTCACGCCTGGGCTCCCATAAAGGCCCCCGCCCACAGGCTTGTCTCCCTCTCTGGCTGTCCACCAGCTGGCTGGGTACAACGCCCCCAAGTCCTTCTCCATGGCCCTCCTCGGCAGTGCTCTGAGGACCTATGAGTAATACCCCCTTGCTGTTAGTGTATGTGTTTAGGTGTGTCGCCTACTCCATGCCTCACCTGACACACCCACACCTAGGTTTCCCAGGCCAGGCTCTCCCAGGCAGTGGCCATCTTGATGGGAATAAACTGGACACTGGTCAGGCAAGAACCACAAGGTCAGCTGCCAGTATAAATACTTTCCTGCAAGAGGGACACCTGCTTACGGTGGACACCCAGGCATTAGGTAGTCTGGCAGGATGAAGAAGTGCGGGTGAAACGTGCACTGTGAGCAACCGCCCAAATCCCCCCAGTCCCGTCAGGGCGGAGCTGGAGTTTATAGCCCAGTCCAGACAGAGACCTCAGTCAGGACCAAATTAGAGAAAATATAACACACACGACCACATGGGTGAATCTCAAAGGCACTGTGCTAAGTAAAAGAGGCACAAAAGATCACATACTGTATGGCTCTGTTCATGTGAAATTCTGGGATAGACAGAGTATAGTGATGGAAATCAGACGAGGGTTGTCTGGAGCCAAGGAAGAGCGGGCATGAAGGACTGACTGCAAAGGGCTGGCAGGGAACTTTTCTGGGGAATGAAATTGTGCTTCCTGCACCGAAGCAGTGCCCAGCCTGATTTCATTTGTCAAAAGTCATGGAACTCCACACTTCCATGGACAGTATTTATAATTTCCAGTTCTTTACTTGTTAAGTAAATAATATCTCAATAAAGTAGTTTTGTTTTCATGTGGGGGTTGCTGTGATGCAGGGATTCTGCTCAGGACTTTATAGAAAAGTATTTGGTTTGGAGGAGCGGCAGGGCTGCCCGCACGCCAGCGCCGCCTCCCGCGGAGCCCGCCAGGGGGCAGCGTCGGGCCCGCGGCCACGCGCGACTCCAAGCCCTAGGCGGGGACCGCGGGAGGGGGCTCGGCCGGGCGGAGGGACGCCGACCCCTGTGTGCGGCGGGAGCCGCGTGGCGCGGGCCGACGCTCCTGCCCGGCGGCTCCGGGGCCAGGCCGCGGGCTCCGACTCCCGCCTCCCGCGCGCGTCGCCCGCACCCCCCGGCCTGGCGTCACAGAGGGGGCCTGGACTCGCGGGCACTGTGGACAGCGACCTCCCTCCGGCCCTGCGGGCGCGTGGGACCAGGCGCCCGTGCCCTCCCCGCGGAACGCGCAGAGGGGCGGCAGGACCCCCGGGGCTGCTTCCAGCGTGCCCCGCGCTGTCGCCGGCGGTGGCGGGAGGGAGGGCAGCGTCCGGGGACACAGGAACCGCTCCGGGCGCCACTTCTCCAGGCCCGCAGGGCGAGTGGCCGCGGCGCCTGTCCCCACTGCCCTTCCATGCAGTGAGGCCCTCGTCTCGGCCCCAGGAAATCCCCGCCCGCGGGAAGCTCGGAAATGCTCATTTCGAACCACAAAAGAACTATGGCCTAGAAATGTTTTTAGCTGCCCCTTGTGCAATCAAAAGGAGGCTGTGAGCCGGCGTGGCTGGCCAAGGAGGGCGCTGCTGGGGATGAGCCCGAATGCGGGCGGGGCGAGATCGGCCACTGCCGGGCGTTCTGTGGCCCGGGCACACCCGGCCCTCCGTGATCCCTCTGCCGTGGCCACAGCTCGCCGCGGCCCCGCGGGGGACACGCACGGGGCCCGCCCGCCCCTGTGCTCGTTCCCATCCCTCTCAGCCCCGCCTAGAGCACAGGGAAGTCTGCCTAATTTTCTGGACACAGCGGAGAGGTGACCGACCCCCTCCGTCTCCCGCCCGCAGCCGCCGGGGCCGCCTCGGACGCGGGCCGGACGCTGGCGACGCTGCAGGTGCAGCCCAGAGGCGGCGCGTGGGTGAGTCGCCCCGCCGCTCCGAAAATGCTGATGGAGGAGCGGGGAGCAGGGGGACGGCGATTAGAGACCGGCAGGTGCCAGAGAACGGGAGGAAGGCAGGGAGCTATGGGGCCCGCATTCTAGCCCGCAGCTTTCCCTAAACTGGGTCCGCTGGCTCTGAGCACTGGCCTGCTCCGGGCCTAGGGGAGACTGGAGGGTCGCGCGGACAATTTCCCCGAAAGGGAAGACGTGCGTATACTCCACTTTAGAGCACTGGCTCTGGGCCCAGACAGAGGCGTGGGGTTGAATTCTCTCCTGCTACAGGCAGGGGTTCTTAGATGGTTGTATAACCGTGCTGAGTCAGTTTCCCCATCTACACAGTAAGAGTATAGGCTGGGCGCGGTGGCTCACACCTGCAATCCTAGCACTCTGGGAGGCCGAGGCGGGAGGATCGCTTGAACTCAGGAGTTCAACTGAGCAAAAGCGAGGCCCCTTCTTTACTAAAAATAGAAAAATTAGCCGGACATGGTGGCACATGCCTGAAGTCCCAGCTACTGGGGAGGCTGAGGCAGGAGGATCGCTTGAGCCCAGGAGTGTGAGGTTGCTGTGAGCTAGGCTGATGGCACGGCACTCACTCTAGCCCGGGCAACAGAGTGAAACTCTGTCTCAAACAAACAAAAAATTGTGTACTGCTATGTCACAGGGTGTGAGGTTGAAACCAAAGATGCTGCAGAGCAGGAAGTACTGTTGAAACCAACAGTACTTTGGTTGAAATCAAAGATGCTGTACTGAGCAGGAAGCCTGTGAGCTTGGACAGATTGGTGTAATTTTAGGCGAGAAAGATATCCGCGTTCAGCCTTGGGGCTGCACTTCCGGCCAGGCCTGTCTTCCCAGGATGACTGGATGGCTTCCTGGCCCAGAAGTTGCAAGGGGCACGGACACACGCAAAGGTGACCCTGCAGGCAAGCACTGAGCCTGCCGGTTGGTGACTGTCAGGGCCTTTGCATGGGTCCTAGTGTGGCTGGCACAGTTGCTGCTTTTCTTGACGAGGACATCCCTCAAACGTCATTCTTCACCCCCAGATACCTTCTCCTCAGAAAACTGGGAACCACTGTCCTAATCATGAGCATCTCTAAACTTGCTTGCTACAGAGCAGTTTCCATTTTGTAGATGCGAACTTGGAGGTCATGGATGGTTAAATGATGTCCGTCAGTCAGCTGAGGAACATACCCTCTTCCACTCTCCTTTGTGTGTGTTTAATGCTGCGTGTTGCATTCTCTGCCCAGCAAAGGATAAACATAGGCCTGTTTGTGCAGCCAGAGGAAGGAGGCCTCAGATCTTCCACAGCACCCTGCAGGGCTTACTGCCAGCCTCAGGGCCAAGGTGAAGATGAAATACGACACCAAATGGGAAAATGGACTTGGGGAGCCCTCTCCCCTCTACCCCCGAGATGGACCCGGAGGACTGGAACAAGATCTTGGCCCTGTGGACCTGGCGCTTGCACGTTTCAGTTGGGAGAAACAGCCCCCACCCCTTTTCTCCTCCTAAAGTCTTAAAACCTGCTCCACCTGCCAGATCTGGAGAAGGGGCTCAACCTTAGACCCCCTTCCCTCTCTCATAAGCGACGACCCAGCAGCTTTGTGAGGACGAAGTTTAAATTTGAAGGTAAGAACATTCCTTGGACTGAGCCACGCCCACGGGCTGCGGCGCTGGTTCACTGCTGTCCCCAGAACAGACAGTGCTGCGCGCACCTTGAGTGCCGAAGACACATGGTGCCCCAGAAGCGGCTGAGTGGGCCGGACAAGTGTCTCTGCTCACCTGTGGCTGGCCCGAGCCATCTCTCTCCTCCCCCCTTCCCCTCCTGTCGCCCCACTGACGTGATCCCTTCCCCAGCGTCCCCGCGCGCCCGGCGCTACGTTTGTGCTTGGCTGTTCCCTTGTCTCCCTGCTGCCTGCCCTGCCCTTTCCCCGCACACGCGCGGGATGCCTCTGTCTCGGTAGTTAGCAGCGCCCGCTCCCCTGCCCCGCAGTCCCCGCGCCTGGAGCTGTCCCTTGGTCCTGCAGCCTCCCGCTGCCCGGCCTCCGGACACCCGCACCCGGGGGCTGCAGGGTTTGGGCCCGCGCGTGGCCAGTGCCAGGGCAGAGCCCCTATTTACATAAGTGGGCAGGCTCGCATCCTGATTGGGTTTCGGTGTGGATTCGCCCCGCCCGTTAGCGTTGGCTCCGCCCCTAGGATGCGGGGCGAGAGGGGAACGCGAACGCGGCTCCTCCAGCCTCGCCTCCGCCCGGAGCCGTGGGGCAGGCGGCCGACGAGTCTCGCGCGGTAGAACTCGCGCACTTGCTCTGGTCAATGCTCCACTATGTTGCCACCTACTCGGGGGAACCTCCTGCTCTGTCCTTGACAGGTGGGCCGCAGTGGGCCGGTCCACGCTGGACTCGAGGGCCTGAGATGGACCCACTGGATCCCAGCCCTGGGGGACCTCAGCCAGGCGGGGCAGAGAAGTAATCGAACTGTCCGTGCGTGGCGCCGTGCCAGCTCCGCACTGGGTCCTTCGGAAGCGGGTTAGGGAAGGCTCCTTGGGAGTCAAGGCAGTTGAGCGAAATGGATAATGAAAGCAAGCTCTTATGATGTTTGCAATTTTTTTTTTTTTTTTTTGCATTTCATCTTCACAACAGCCTGGTACTCATTTTACAGATGAGATATAAACTGTGGTTCAAAGAGATTAAGCGTTCTTTCACTATGAGCAAGTGACAGAGTGAGGACTTGATCCTGCTTTACTGGGAGCCCCAGCTGGTCTTCACTCCATGTTATAAGCACAGTGGCAAGGGAAACGACGTGAGCAAGGAGGCTGAGGTGAGAAACAGCACAGAATAGAGGAGGGGACTACGGAAAAATTATGATTACAGAAAAATGATGTTTCTGGAGCACCAAGTTGCGCCCACAAAGACATGAGAGTGCAGGCTGGAGAGGACAGCGGGGCCATGGAGGATCTTGTCAGCCACAGCCAGGTGTTTGGATTTGGCCCTGAGTGTAGTGAGGGGCTGACCCCCACCGGAGGTTTCACAAAGGGGAGCGAGGCGTCCTGTCTGCTGCAGTCAGGAGGAAGGATGCAGGCGGGAAAGGCAGTGCTGAGGGCTGGGTGCAGTCTACTCTGGATCTTGCTTTTCAATATCTTTTTCATTATGCACAATGGGAAAATGATTCCCGTTGCACGGCACGCTGGATAACACAGGAGGGGACTGTTGGCAGCCGGCAGCAACCAACCCAAGGACTCTGGCCATCTGAAGTCCCAGCATAGTCACCCCTAGGGACGATGAATCCCAACTACATGTACCCAGTCACAGCACACCCAGGCTCAGATAATGACAGTGAAGAATGAAGAACAAGAGCTGGATTCAAGGAATGGTAAGAAAGCAAAGTTGGTATCACATGATGAAGAGGCAAAGGGGAAGGAAGATGACCCCTGGGTTTCTGGACTAAACAGCTGGACAGACTCTGAGCTTGCGATAGGTGCAGAAGCCCAGGGTCCAACAGACAGACTGGGTCCAACTTCCAGTTTCACCAACTTACTAGTTCTGTTACCTTGAGCAAAAAGCCTGTTCATTCCTCTGTAAGACAGGGATATTAGTAGAGTTGTAGGGTTGCTGTGAGAGCAAAATGAGATAATGTGCAATGGCTAGAACATAATGTATCGAATAAATGGCAATGCTAGTACTATTGTCATATTATTATTTATTATTGTTATCCATAAATCTGAAGCTCAGAAAAGAAGCAATTTCAGAAGCCAACAAGTGGGAATTGAAACCATGAGAATAAATGAGAAAATCTAAAAAAAGTGCATATGGTGAGAAGGGAGGATATGGAAGACCAGAAACTCTGACACTGACGGGGTGGACACAGGAAGTGGAGCCTGGTAACAAAGGGCCAGAGGAGGAGATGAGCCATGAGAGACTGGTATCACGGAAGCCACATGTAGCAGCCACATGGTTGGTCCTCTGCCTCACTTCCTCCTTCCTAACAGAACCCGGCGTTGCTCAGGGAAGCACCCTCCTCTCGGGGGCGCTTCAGAGGGGACAGCCCGCAGTCCCAGCTCCAGCCCAGGAGGTGAGTCCTCCTGGTAACCCCATTTCCCTTGCCAGTGCTTCCTCCAGGAAGGTGCGTCCAATACAGTTCCGTGTGATGGGATTTGATGGAAAATCTGCTGGGGGACTTCTGGAAAAGATGTCCTTGATCTTATAAAGAGATGCACATGCAAATCAAAATCACAATGAGATACCACTTCACACTCACTAGGATGGCTAGAATAAAAAAAGTCTGAGATAACAGCAAGTATTGCGAAGAATGTGAAGAAATCAGAACCCTCATACACTTCTGGTGGGATTGTAAAATGATACAGCCACTTGACAAATAATCTAGAAGTTTCTTCAAATGATTACACATAGAGTTATCATATGATCCAGCAATTCCACTCCTAAGTATATACCAAGAGAAATGAAAACATATGCTCACACAGAAACTTGTACACAAATGCTTATAGCAGCGTTATTCACAATAGCCAAAAAGTGGAAACAGCTCAGATGTTCACCAGCAGACAAATGGATACATAAAAGGTGGTATATCTATACAAGGGAATATTATTTGGCCATAAAAAGAAGGGAAGTGCTGCTACATGCTATGACCTGAATGAAACTTGAAGATGTTCTGCTAAATGAAAGCAGTAGCGGCAAAAGACCACATACTTTATGGTTCCATTCATATGAAAATCCAGAAGAGGGAAATCTATAGACAGAAAGTAAACTAGTGGTTACCAGAAGATGGGGTGGTGGAGGGGGATGGGAGGTGATAACTAAAGGATACCAGGTTCTTCTTGAGGTGACCAAAATGTTCTAAAATTGACTACAGTGATGGTTGCTCTTATGAATGAATATACCCAAAATCATTGAATTGTACACTTTAAATAAGTGAACTGGGCTGGGCGCGGTGGCTCACGCCTGTAATCCTAGCACTCTGGGAGGCCAAGG